TATAACCTGAAAAAGTTTTCCTTCTACTCCATCCTTTATAACCTGAACAACTTCTTTTGGTTGTGATTTACATATCTTTTCTATATGTCCCAATTGACCATATTTGCGACATTTCACATCAGGCTTCCACCAACACTTGTTGGGTGTGCGATTATTTTTCTTGCAATAAGGACAGACAGAAAATACTTGTGATTTTGTACCTTTGTTGTTCTTGCCTTAGAAAAAACCTTCACCAGGATGATCTCCTCTCATTAATTTTCGTTGTTCTGGCGCTTGTAAAGCATGTAGCACTCAAATTTTCTCGTCCCCTTCATATTGATATTTCAAATAATCCCAAATTTCTTTAGGTGACTTTAACGTCATGATTTTGGAGAAGATCATTTGTGAAACACTAGCAAACAGACATGATTTAGCTTTTGTCTTCCTCGTTTTTCTTTTTTTGTGAAATTTCATTTGAGCTATGGTGAAATTTTCAGGTAGTAGATCAATAATATAATCTTCTTTCACATCTTTCCATACATTTAATCTTTCAAGATAGGATTGCATTCTCATAGCCCATAAGTCATAACTTTCGTCATAAAAAATTGGAATAACGACTTGTGAAAAGTTTCTTTCTCCTTCTATTGTATCAAACCAAAACTCTGATACCACTGATGAGAATTTTTAGGGTTTTGTGTATGTATATATATCATATGGGTATATTTTTTATTCATGTACTCTATGTATTTGTAGAGTAAAAATATTACAAAATATCAAATATTAATAATATCTCAATCATAATTGTCTAGATCAAAATAATAACGTAATATCTTTTTATCTTCTTTCTTAAAAGATAATAAAATATCTTAATACCTAATTTAAATAAAAGATAATAAAGTAATATTCCCAACAATATCACATAACTTTCAAAGGATAATTTTATTTGTATATTGTCACTCAATGAAACTGTGACACCCTTCTACCCCAAAATGTTTTTCTTTAATAAATAACAAAATACATAAAATAAAAGGTAAAATAATTAAATATATCACTCTTTTGTATAAAATACATAAAGATAAGGAAAATAATATATTAAAATAAGATCTTTTAGGCCTTAGAGTTGTGTTTACAAAACTTCAAAACAATTCTAAAAAAAGAGAGAATAAATGTATGGTATCTCTTCCCCGATGTTACACCTAAACAGAACATCCCAAAAAATAAAGATAAAAGAAGCATCTCTTTTTCTTTATCCAAAATTGGTTCACCTATAAAAGCATTCAACCCAAACAAATATCACAAACAAAAATAGAAGAGTGAGAAATATATCTCACATATATGTTGATCTCAAAATATAGTTTCATCGTTTACTAAGCCTAAAATAAGGAAAAACACAAACTTGTATTCTAATTTAGACAGCATGACCTTTAATTACTAAAAAAAAATCATATCTAAGTTATGTACAATATGTTTACGTTAAATCAACTCCATTAGTTATTTAACATCTAGGACTACAACTTTTATGAAGAACATATTTCTAAATTTTGAAGCAAACCATCCCTAAATTTGTTGATAATCTTTAAACGTTAAATAGATCACAAAATCCTACAAATAATACAATGATCTATGAGATTTAAATTTAACTTATTATATTCTCACTTTGTTAGTGAGGGTTAAGGGGCTCTCTAAAACCCCCAATCAATTTGCATAAATAGGATCTAAGATCCTATAAGCAATAAAAATCAATAACTAAATTACATTTTGTTAGAATTAAGTTTAAAATCTTAATATACATTAACAAAACCTAGTGAGACATTTCTCACTCCTACTCTTACCTTGAATGATAATATGTAATACTCTAATATATAACTTGCTTAATCTAAAAGATGCTCTCAAAACTCTTCACATCCTGTCCCGTCTCTCCCAAAGTTTCTCCCAAATGTTAAAAAACTAAATGATGTAGAATGAAAGAGAGAAAGCCTAACATATATTTATACACTAATGAGTGGAGTTTGACTTTCAAAGATAAACTCCAATTTACTTTTATCTTTTTTCTTTTTTAGTTTTATCTTTTTAATTTTATCTTTCTAACATTATATTTCAATAATTATTTTTCTATTTTTATCTTTTATCTTTATCTTTGTCTAACAAATAAACTTATTTTATCTTTTATAAAAATACTTGTATTTATTATGTTAGCCTAATTAATAATATAATTAAACCAAATAAATAATTAAATCACATTTTTTGTTTTTAAAAAATGGAATGTTATAGAAACTATTTTTCTTGTATACAATAAATTTTCTCATATCCTCTCTATGAGAATAAAACTCTTGTAATTTTATCAACTTTTGTTTGTAATGTCTTAGTGTACTTGAAAAACTAGAAGTAACTTAACGATAAACAATCTTTGTGTTTTATTCAGGGCGTTAAAAAGTTGTTAGGAGTGACACTTGTGTATTCTAAAATTAGAAGTGTCAATGAATAATTTTGATTGTAATCTAATTAATCATAATGAAATATGTTAATAATTTGCTAAAGAAGAATGGAATGTAACTCAGATTAAGTGAACCAATATAAAATCAAACTTTTATGTATTTCCTTGCTTGTAACTCTACTCAATTAATTTTCTAAATAATAGTTATACGAGATATTTAGTCATGTCAGTATTTGTATAACCTTACAAGATTGGATCAATTCCCCCATAACACAAACACGTCTTACATGTCCCCTTGAGATACCTATGAATTCATTTAATTGCATCCTAATGACCGTTTTCAAAATTTGATAGATATATGCTTATGACTCCAACAACATGAGCTATATACAACCTCGTCCACATCATTGCTTATATCAAGCTTCCAACTATTGAGGAATAAGGATGTATTAACTTTAATCTTTTTCCTCTTTAGAATAAGGACATGACTAGGCATGGCAACGGGCGGGGTGGGGGCGGGTTTTGCTTCCCGATTCACGCCCAGACTTTTTAACCATCCCCATCCCTGCTCCCGATCTTTGCGGGGTTAAAAATTAAGTCTCCATCCCTATCCCTGTCTCCACTGGGTTTTAGGTTCTCCACCCCGCCTCGTCCTCGATCTATATTATTTTTAAAAAGATAATTACATTTATAATAAATTAATTTTATTATGTATTGTTTATATATAAATAAATATTTATAATTTTATAATTTATAATTATTATTAATTAAATATACATTTTAATTTATTATATTTATATTAAAATATGTATGTAAAAAAATATTTTTAATTATTTTTTATTTATATATAGAGAGAATATTTATAACATTATTATTATTATTATTATTATACTATTCAAATATTTGAATACTTATAACATTATTATTATAATACTGTATTCAAACATTTAATTATATATATAAGTTAATTCATTTTTAAGTTGTCATTTAAAAATATGAAATATATAATTTATAAGAAAATATTTAATAAGTTAATTTTTATTTAATTAATTCGAAGTAATAAAAGTTTAAATTATCAATTTCTTTTAATCCTTTAAAATACAATTATTTTATTAAGATAAAATTTGATATATGATAAATAAGAATAATAAGATCAAAAAATATGACATAATAAAACCTAATAAATATAAATTATAAATAAAATAATATTAGTTACTACTAGGATTTATGTAAAATATTTAGAAAAAGATAAAGAAAAAAATTTACTTTGTGTTCATCAAATTGATTGAAAAGATTAAAAAAATAAATAAATTGATGGAGAAATTAAGAAAACGTAAAAAATAGAAAGGTAAGAGAGAGAATAATGTAATAAATTAATTGATATAAAAGATTAAAAAAGACAAAAAAATTAAAAGTGGGTAGAAGAAAAATAAAAATTGGTGAAATATTAAAAAAATAACTTTATATGTAATAGAAAAAGAAAATAAAATACATTTAAAATATTAATATTTTAAAATTTAAATTTAAATTTAAAGTTGGGGCGGGGTCGTGGTCGGGGTCGGGGTGGGGATTGCATTACCCATCCCCGCTCCCGCCCCCGACTTTTTAAAGTGGGGAAACTCGAACCTTCCCCTTGTCAACTCGGGTTTTTCCCGTCAAACTCGGGATGAGACGGGTTGGTTCCCACGAGTACGGATTTAATTGTCATCCTTAGACATGACTTCTTGCCCAACTTGAAAGGACTAGTCAATGATTGTCTTACACTAGGTTGACATTCTCCTTGTTGAACCTTTAAATCACTCGCTTAACATACCTCTCCCAATATAACCACAAATTTTGTACTTTCCTATCCCCATAAATATGTATGTCAAGAATATGCTAAGTTAGTCTTATGTCTTTTATATCAACCTACAAAGTTTCCCTTCAAATTATTTATTTTTGATACATTTTCCAATTTTTAACATGTTATCTGCATACAATGGAAGTGAAACAAAGTCTCCTCTTGGAAACTTTTGGAAATAGATGCATTGATCCGTAAATGCTCTCATAAGAGTGAAATTTATTAAACCATTATAGGGGTACTTGCTTAATATCGTACAAACTCTTCTTTAATTACAAATAAGGCTCTCTTTTCTTGAAACCTCAAAATCTTTAGTTGTTTTATGTATATTTCTTCATGCAAGTCACCATTAAGAAATGTAGTTTTTTGTTCAAGCTCTAAGTCTAGACTACCAATTAATTCAAGAATGACACATATTGATGCTATCTTCATCATAGACAAGAGGAATTCATCAAAATCAATTCATTTATTTTGGAGGAATCCTTTAATGACCAATCTTGTCTTGTGTTTCATGACCTTTCCACTATTATCTTTCTTGATCTTGAACACCTTAACACCTTATTTCTTGTGGGGATATCAATTAAGTCATATGTATGATTCTTCTATAAAAAATTCATCTCATCTTGCATAACCCATAATCATTTGTCTTTGCCTAGATAAGATAAAACTTCTTTAAATTCTTATGGCTCCCCTATTTAGTGAGAAGAATATATTGTGATTCTAGTTACTTTTTTAACAAAATCTTACCTTTATTTGGTGTTTGTAACCAAGGCTCATTTACTTTTAATGACACGTCATTTTCTAGTCTTTGTTTGTCAAGTTGTTGAAACTCCTTTATTTCAAGAATCTCTACACTTTTGCATTCTCTATAATAATAGGTGCCAAATTTGGAACAATATCTTTAATAAGTAGACAATTAGTTACCGTAGGCTTCTCTCGGTCTTCATATGTATAGTACTCTTAGAAAATCAAATTTCTAATTCTAGACACCTTCCTCTCCTTTGGGTCCCATAACCCATATCAAAATGCTTCATCTCCACAATGAATGAAGATACATGGTTTGATTCTCGAGTCAAGCTTTTGCCTTTGTTCTTTGGATACACATGCAAATGTCAACACACCCAAATACTTTTAAATGTGAATGTGAAGGGTCTTTTCCAAACCACACCTTTATTTGGAATCTCAAAGTTCAAAGAAAATGATAGTGATCTATTTAACAAGTAATAGGCATTGTAAAAAATTTCTCCCCACAATGTCTTACGCAATTTCAACATATTGAGCATGCTTCTTACCCTCTCCGTAATGATTTAGTTCAACCTTTTTTTTTACACCATTGTGTTGAGATGTACATAATATTGTCTTGTCATAACACCACATTTCTTATAGTGCGCATTGAAGTCCCTAAATATACTCATCCATTATCTAAAAAAAAAACTCCTTAATTTCCTTCTTGTTGAATGTTTTACCATGGCATGAAATGTTTTAAAATTTACAATAACTAATCCTTTATCTTTAAAACATACACTCAAACCTCATTAATAAAAGTTAGAAATCACTTGTTACCACCTAAAGATTTCACATCCAAGGGACCACAAACATCATAGTGAACCAAACTTAACAACTTTCATCTTTGTAGTGATGATGAGTTGAAACAAATTCTTTATTATTTACCATACAAAGAATGAATACAAGGATGACTCATTGTACCCTTAATAATTATCAACTTCGTCTATATTAAGATGGACAAACCCTACCACTCATTTGATTTGATGCCACAAGTTTTAAGACTATTACTATTAAAAAAATTATATTTAGTAATATGTAAATTTGTAAGTAAAAGTTTTAAATTTATTACTAATAATATCTTACAACAATAGTCCCTGATAAATTTGTGACAATAATTTTAAATATCACTAAAACTAATATTTATTATAATAAAAATAATTATCACTACTAATTATATATAATAAAAACAATAATACGTTATTATAAATATCTAAATAAAATAATGGTGATAAATTAGTTATCACGTACGGCTAATAAGAAATTTATGATAAGGTAATAATGGTAACTAATAATTAACAATTTATAATAATAATCATTATTAGTTTAATATAAAAAAATTTATCATAATTATTTTACAAATTATCACTTTTAATAATTTATAATAATAATAATAATTTTTATTATTATAATTATTATAATAATGCTAAGTTTTCATAATTATTAATTACTTTGATTATTATTATTTTATAATCAAATAATTAGAATATGTCACTATTAAACAATTTTCTCATTTTAAAAAACTATCAAAGAGGTGAAGTTGACAAAACTCTATTCTTTATGAATTAAAAAAAATGATATAATTCTGGTACAAGTTTTTGTTGATGACATCATCTTTGAGGCTACTAATGATACTTTGTGTAAGAATTTTGTGAAAGAAATGCAGGGATTTTTGAGATGTCAATTATGGAAGAACTCAATTACTTCCTAAGATTGCAAGTTAAAATAATTGAAAGGGGAAACTTTCCGCATCAATCAAAATACTGTGCGAGAATTGATCGAAGTTTGAAATGGAAAATTGCAAAGAAGCATCCTCTCTCATGTCCACAAGTTTCTATTTAGATGCTGATAAGAAAGGAAAATATGTAGATCAAACCAAGTATAGAGGGCTCATTGGTTCATTGTTGTACCTTACGGCTAACAAGCCCGATATAATGTTTAGTGTTTGCATGTGGATCAGATTTCAATTAGCACTAAAGGAGTCTCATTTCACAATTACTAAAAGAATATTGAAATACCTAAAAGGAACTATGAATGTTAGCTTGTGGTATCTTGGTGAGTTCAATTAAATTTAGTTGGATATTCTGATTCAAATTTTGCAGGATGCAACTTGGACGAGAAGAGCACTAGTAGAACATGTCACTTACTAAGAAGTAGCTTGATCTCATGCCATAGCAAGAAGCAAGCTTGTGTGGTTTTGTCAATTGGTGAAACATAATACATTGTTATTGGAAGTTGTTGTGCTCAATCGCTACGGTTGAAACAACAATTACATGATTATGGTTTGACTTTTCATAAAATTCATTTTCTCTGTGATAACACCAGTGCAATAAACTTAACTAAAAATCCAATCCAACATTCAAGAACTAAGCACATTGAAATAAGACATCACTTCATAAAAGATCATGTTTCTAAAGATTATTGTGGAATATTTTTCATTAAAACTAATAAGCTATTAGCTAACGTTTTCACAAAACCCTTAACTTGTGATTGTTTTTACATGATTATGACTGAATTAGGCATTTTAGATTTATAAAAAATTGCATGTACTCATAATGACTGATAGAATTAATTGATATATATGTCTTTTAATCAATTAAAATCCTGGAATATATACTTTTTTTGAAAATTATTGGTTTTTAATTGATTAGTTACTCAAAATAATCGGTTAAAATCACTTAAAACTAGTTCTTAAAGAATGGTTCTTGCTTGTTTTAATTGATTATTTGTCGAATTAGTCGATTAAAAGTTATTTGGATTATGTTTTGAATTACAGTCTCTCCGAATTATTCGATTAAGAAGCGAATTGTATAAGTTAATTTCACTTGAGTTACATACTTGTTCACAAAATTTAATCAATTATCTTTCGTTTTAACATATTAATATTTTGCATATATTATTAATCCATATCCGAGTACATTTTTAATTGATTATTTGGTAAAATAATCGATTAGATTGTTCTTGGAAATATTCAAAGAATCAATTGCGGGTATTAAATACATTTGTTTTCGGGTTAACATCAATTCAAGAGAAAAATCGAAGTAGGGAATTTTGATTGGGTTGTGAATAAGACAAATGACTTTGACCTAGTCAACCCTCATCTTCAAGAACATTTAGCTAATAGATAAAGGTAGTTGCTACCCACTGCACAATAACAATATTATTGTTGTTAGTCAAGAGAACTACTGCAAATTCAAAAGCAAAAGCAATTCCAGAAGTCTTGAAATGTGATTTTGACTGGTTCACATGCTCTATGTAGATTCATTTAGTGCTCAACCAACACTCTAATTATCAATTAATAAGAAAAGAAGATTGAACTCGAATTTTACCACTCACTCGTCTTGCGAAACTCCAATCTTTCTTCTCTACTGCCCTTTTAAGTCTTTGTTACAACACTCTCAAAACATGTTCAAAAGATCAAAATCTGGCAGAAATAAGAGCAAGGGAGAATCATCCTCCCAAGTTGCTAAAGGGAATCCAGTGGTCACCTGGAAACATGGTTCAATGGTGACCTAAATAAAATGATTTAGTTTATTGTTGATTTCAGCAATAAACAACTAGTCATGCCAAAGTATTTGCAGTGTAACTGGTTGCATAGAGAGGACTTCTCCAACCTGCGTCAATAGTTGTAGCACCACAAATTGAAGACCTTCTTGGAGCTTCATGGGATGATTCAACCGAACTTGGTAAGGATCTTCTATACAAATCTATGAGTAGATGGCTCCACTATTTGCTCTCACGTCAAAGGGGTAAACATTATGGTTACACCAACCATATGGAAACAAGTTGCTAGTCTGAAAGATGAAGGTGTGAAAGTGTCCAAAGGAAATGTATAAAAAATTGAAGACTTCAACAAGATTCAATTTTTTTGATCCTGTCTCAAAGAAAGAAGTGATTCCGTAAGAACTTTCATTGCAAAAGAAATGAGGTTGAGACCAAGACTTCTTGGCTTCATCATTGTCTGACAATTAATACCTTGGGGGAGCAATCACGCTTTTCTAAATGAAGGAGATTTAACCTTAATATACGGTATCACATGATCAAGGCAAAAAGGTTATGTGATTTTCGTCTACCATATGCTATTTTAATTGCCAAATTCTTTAGATTGTTTGGAGTAGATTTTATAGGTGAATATGAAGAAATGCCTAGGACTACAAGTGAAATTGATGACTCCATACTGCATAAGATGAGTTTCATCAAGGTTGATGGAAACTGGATTTCTAAGGTTGAAGCATGGATTGATGATGATGATTATGGTGAAAAGGAGAATGCACCACAAGAAAATGTTGGTATAGGCTCATCTCATGCTACAACTGTAGTAGAACCAGGGACAACTGAAGCAAATAATATGGTTGGAGCCTTCCAGAACATGGAGTTGATACCCTATTATGAACAACCATATTGTGGGACACCATTATCTCAATTTGAGAGGAAGATGTTGTCTCATATGGCTTTATTGCAGGAAAACCAAAGGAAGCATATGCAAATGACATACTAACACTACCAAGAGTCCAATAATAAACTCTACCATGTCAATAATCAGTTAGGAGATATCTACAACAGGTTGGATGACTTGTAGTTGAACCTAGGTTCATGGGAGGATTAAAAATCCGTTGTTTCATATTATCCTTTGTTTTTTGTGTCTTGGACATTTTTTCCTCTTATGTTATTTTTATTCATCTCTGCTAGCTTGTACTGATAACTGGTTCTTATAGCCTGAACTTCAGATTTTAAATGCATTTGTGGAATATCTTTGATCTTTATTCAAGCCTTTTTCCTATTTTGATGAAGTCAAAAAGGGGAGAAAGGATTGCAAGGAATTGCACATGTATACTAATTTTATCATACACATAATTTTTTTTTTTGCAGATTCAAGATTATTTGTCTTTATCAAATAGGGGAGATTGACGAAGATAATGAAAAAGATCTTGAAAGACTTGAAAGATTTGATGAAGTCAAAAGGAAGATGATATGTTGTTGTAGTCCAAAATGTGTTTGCATTAAGTATTGTAGGTATAAACATCTATCCTTTCCTCAAGTATGAGTTTCTTCTTTCCAAAATTAAAGAAAAAGTACCTCAAGAATTTTTAAACTATCTGTTAATATGTTCTTCAGTAAGTTTTTTAACTGATATATTTTCGAATTAATCTGTTAATTTTACTTAAACAGTCAAAGAACTTTTTGGTTCACAATTTTAATTGATATCAGAAGATTTTAATATGTTAAAATGTTATTGGCCAAGTTTTGGAAAACCATGGTTTGTAGTTTTAATTGATACATGACCAGTGTTATCAGTTAAACCTCTCAGAAAAAATTTTGGAGTTCTTTTAATCGATTAAATCACGTTTTTACTAGTTAAAACGTCTTTGAAAAATTTGACAAAGCAATTTTAATTCATTAAATAACTTTTTTATTAGTTTAATTAACTTAATCCTGATTCGCTGAAAGATAACTCTAGTTATTTTAATTGATTACTTGACAAATTAACCGATTAAATGTTTTAGTATACTCCAGAATTTTTCGATACGAATAGATTCTCACTTTCATTTTAAAATATACTTTGAGAAATCAATCAAGCAATCTTTTGAGAATTGTTCCAAGAAACAAATGTGTTTTTTACTTTAGAAATCTTTGAAAACTATTCTTAATGCTTTTTTATCTTCTTGAAAGAACTCAACTTGTGATTGGATTGTTGCTTTAGCATATTCATTTGGTTGTTGTTGTTTCTTCAAGCATCTTAATTCCTCATTCTATCTTTTGTATTTTTGGTGTCTAGAAGTATGGACACTGGTTAAGGAAACTGGAAGTGTGGTTGTTGGTGTAGGTTCAAGAACTAGTTTGTAGTTCTTGGAGTAGATTGTGATTCTACTGTTGGTGTTTGTAATCAATTGAAAATTTGATTAGTGGAACTTAACTAGATTTGGTTGAGAACTGGATGTAGCCCTATGGATTGGGTAAACTAGTATAAATTATGTTGTTCTTGTCCTTCTTTTCATTATATTTTTATATTTAAGATTGTTGTTCTTTGATTCAAAATAAGATAAATATCACTAAAACTTTGAAATTGATAATATGAATTTAAAAGTTGCAAAAATCTTTTAACAAATCAATTCACTCCTTTTTATCTAAGCCTGTATTTCTAACAACATATATTTCAAGAAAGATAATATGAATTTAATTTTATTAATAGTAATTATAAAGAATTAATGAATAATGTGTATTATTTAATCATCTTAAACCATCCATCCAAATTGGTTACTTGTTTAAAAACAATTTAATAATATATGGATAATAAAGCTCAACAGTCTATTAAGATAATGATAATATTGGCTCAATCTCCTCAACATCTATTATATCATATAATGAAGAGTTATATTAGTAAAAATACTTACCACAATTCAAAACAAATAAAAATTTAATGGTATACATGAAGTTAGTAATAATGAACAAGATATTGATCTTGAAAATATTAATTTAATAGAGGATGAAAAAAGCAAGGAAGAATATGATAATTTATTACCATTTTATATTATTTTATAAATAAAAATATTATTAGTTATCTTTAATTTTTTAAAGACGAGATTTAAATAAAACTCATTTATCTATTTATAGTTGTATTTTTTAAACTTGATCATTTGGAGAACTAATGAACGTCTTTGATGAAAACAAGAAACAAAATATTTGTTCCTAAACAATTTGTATTGAGTGATATAATTCAACAATAAAATAAAAAATTGATAAAGAAATTATTATTATTATTATTATTATTATTATTATTATTATTAAAAATATAACAATTTGACCCTATTAAATAATATACTGATAAAATCTATTATATATATATATATATATATATATATATATATATATAATTTTCACTTTGTTAAAACAATTTTATAAGATCGAGTTGGACAAATTATATTTCTAATTTATACTTTTATTATTTATAAAATTTAAGTATATTTAATGAAGTTATAATATCGTTAATTTCATTATATCTATATAAATAAATTTTTAAACATACAAATTAATTAACGCACCAAATATTGAATAATTAACTTAATCTTTGATAATATGATTTAACTGAATGAAAATACTATTATTTTTATCTTATGTATTCAAATAAATTTGTAAATTTAAATATTAAAATAATTATAACCATCTACTTTTGCACTTAATCGTTCTTAGATAAACAATACAAAAGTTTAAAAAAAAAACAAAGAAAAAATACCATATTTTAAACAATAATTAAAAATAATATAGTTAATTTGACATTATGTTTTTATTAAATATATAAATTATTGAACCTGTTAAACAAATAAACTTTTATTAAATATAAAATTCAACAATCTCTAACCCATTCAAAATATTGTTTATTTATTTACATTATTAATTGTTGAAGATAAAAATAAGTTAACCCAATAATAATGTGATATAATTCATAATTAATTTTATCTTCAATAATGTAGTTAACAATTTAATCTAAAATATTGTGATTTTTATATTATTTATTTAAATAATTTGTTCTAATTTTAACATTAAATTGGTTATTTTAATTAAAAATTAAATCAAAGTAAAAGATATTTTTATTATTTATTGAAGTACAATTTTAAACTTAAGCATCACAATTACATAATATAATTTATTAAAAATAAATCTAAATTAATCCAAAACCATGATATGAGATAATTGGTACCTAATTTTATATCAGAGTCAAAGAGTTCGCATTTTTTGGCTTATTTATTTAAATGTATTTAAATTTAAATATTAATAATAGATAATACTTTTATTAAATACAAATTTAAACTAATGCAATTAAAAAATATTTATATTATTGACAAGTAATTATTAACAAAATTATAATGATAAATTAGTAATAAAAAGTGACTTTTTTTCATAAATAATACTATTTTTAAAAATATTTCCCAAAATAGCACATCTGGAATATTATTTACACAACTAGCACTTTTTATGTTCACGTATTAAAATAATCGATTATTTTATATTATGATCGATTATTTCGCAATCAACTATCGCTCAAGCGAAGAAATCCTTCGCTTGAGCGAGGAAATCTGTAATAAAGGGGTATCTCGGGTCAATTCTCGCTCAAGCGAAGAAACCCTTCGCTTGAGCGAGGAAATCTGTAACAAAGGGGTAATCTCTGGTCAATTCTTGCTCAAGCGATGGGTATTTTCGCTTGAGCGAGAAGTGATTAAAATATGTGGTGACCCAAGTTGCGTCATGTGGCTAACTATGTTGGACGTT